GGCTGGCCCCCATAGGCCCCTGCTGTCCCCGTGTCCCACGGGGGGAGGCCACGGGACTTAGTGGACAGCAGAGGGGAGCAGCTCCCATAAAGGGGACCTGGACCTCATCTCTCTGGGAAAAGGGCCCCCCCGTCGCAGAGGGGACGCAGTCCAGCAGCTGCTGAGGGAGCCAGGGAACAAGCTGTGGTGCAAACAGGGCCAGACCAGGCTGGGGATGGCGACAGGGGCAGAAATCCATTACTTCAAGAGCCATTTCAGCAGTTCCCCCCTCTCCCTTCTGCAGAAAAGAGGAACTGGAGGCTGCGGGCGCTCTACCTCCATAAGCCTATTGCTTCTCCTTGCTCCTCTCAAAACTCCTAACAAATTCCTAGTGCCCAAAGCAAGGGCAGGAACACAGATACAAGGCCTTTCCAGAGCCCCTGCTAGAAAATGCTTCCATGCTGAAGCTCCATCCTGGTATAGACGTGGCACAGGACACCAGGACTCTGGGCATGGCAGCCAGTCCCCAGGGCAAGGCAAAGCCACCTCGCACCAGCCCCTGCCCTCAGCACAAGGATCTGGGGCAAGAGGGGCACACTGGGCCATAAGGATGTGGGGAGGAAGGCCAACTGCAAAGACTAACCCTCCCTATGCCAAGCCCTACAGTATCCAAGGAGAGACCATGGCCTGTGCCAGGGCACTCACATTTTGCAGGTGGGAGGACAGAGGAAGGGCAATAAGTTCTGCATTTGCGGCCAGCTTCTGGGGACGCCAGCCTCACCTACAGCCACCGCAGGAGCTTGCAGGATGCCCTGCTAGAAAGCCCCTCTCATCCCGAGCTGAGACACGTCCCCTCCAAGCACGGAAAGGCAGAGACACCAGTCCCACCTCAGCGGAGAGCAGCCATGGGCTGAGCCAGGCTCCCTGTGCCACCCAGACAGGGGGATCACAGTGCAACCTTGTGCCCATCTCGAGACTGGAGGCATAGAGAGATGAACGTCAGCCCCAAGCAGGGGCATTCAGATGGCACTCAGCTAAGCCCCAGGACAAGCGGCTACAGATAAAGAGATTGGAGGCAGAGCTGGCGCTGAGCTTTAATGCTTTCCAATCCTGTTAGCTCTGGGACAGCACAGGGCCAGCGCTGAGCCGAGACGGCCACTTGAGACCAGTCCAGCACCTGCATCTAGTCTGAGCAGCCTCTCCATCCACACTCAGGCAGTGCTGAGGAACATGGCTTTGAGCCTCCCCATCCACCACCCTATTTGCCCTGGAAAGACGGAGAAGGCCAGATCTGCCCACAGAAGGCCACCGCCTAACAACACATCCACCAACAAACCCGGTGCCAGAGTGGCCCCTGCAGAGCCTGGTGCTCCGCAGGCAGCCCCCGGACGGGCCAGGAGGGCCCGTGTCGGCGGAGGGAGCCCAGCCCTTGGCCTGGCCCTGGGCCGCAGGGTGGAGGTCGCCCTTGTGGGCGCCAGTGCTGGGCGCCCAGCGGAGGCTGCTGGCGCTGGGCAGGGGCCGGGGCAGGCAGGGGACCCTGGGGAGGAAGCCACACCTCTCGCTGCCTCCGCATCCGGGTGCAGGGCTTAACCCTCTTCCCCTGACACGAACCCTCCTGCCCTCCGGCGCAGCCTCTGCCAGCGCCAAGCGGCCCCCTGCAAAAATCACAGAGCTCGACCCCGCTGCAGCTCACGCTGCCACGCCGGGCAGCAGCATCTGCCCGCCCGAGGCTGCCCCTTCCCAGGGCCCGGCAGGAGCTTCCTGAAGCTGCCCCGTGCCAGGGCCAGCGCCCAGGGAGACGGGAAGGAGGCAGCTGGGAAGGAGGCAGCCGCAGGGCCCGGCCGGGACCGGCCTGCCCGGAGCACACCGGGAAGAGCAGCCTGGAGCGCTCCCTGCGCCCGGCATCGCTGCCACAGCAGCCCCACTGCCCTCAGGGTGCTGGGAAACATGGATTCAAAAAAAAAATTATTTTCTCCTTTGGGTTTTCCACTCCAAATCTTTCCAAAACGTTTCTCCTCTAAAAGTAACACAAAATCCCAATTCTTCACAGGCTCTGCTAAGAGCTCAAGGAGAGGAAGAGTTAAACCTAAGTTCCCCAGAGAAGAGGAGGGGATTGACAAGGTGTCCGGCTGGTGACTTGTCCCCAGAGCCGCTAGATGGAGCTGGCAGCCCAGCAGAGCGACTGTCCCTGTCCCCAAAGCCGAGCTGCTCCCCAGGGACCTCATAGCTCCTGGGACCTGGCTGCAGGTTCCAGCCACTTCCCTGTAGATCCAGGCAGCCCTGGCTCTCCGGCAGCCAGGCGCTGCTGTCCTACCCGCCTGGGCTCTCCTGGCTTTGCAGGTGTCTTTTCACCTACATCTGTCCCAAAGGATGGCACCGATGTGGCCCTGAGCTTGCACTTTCCCCATCTGCTCCTTCCCACAAACATTGCATCCTCCAAACAACGCGCTGTTCCTCCCGAGCAGCGAAAAGGAGCCCAAAGCCTGCAGGGCCAAGGGCAACAGTGTGTGAGAAGCCAACCCAGCCATCTGGGTCACCAGATGATCATCACCACCACCAGAGACACATCCAAGCTGGGCAATCCTGCTTCAACCGCACCCGGCACAGCGCTATGCGTCCGGCCACCTACCCCCGTGCCGAGGACGTCGGTAGGTGTGGGAGAGACGCCGTCCCCGCTGTCCTGGCCGCGGGCGCTGAGCTGGGGGGACATGGTGGGCGACTCGTCGATGTAGGGCATGGTTTCTGAGCCCTCCGGCAGGGCCTTGGGCTCCTCGTTCCCCTCGGCGTCGTAGTCGTCTGCACCATAGCTGAAGTCTACAGGGGAGTGAAGATGGCGATGATGAGAGCCCGGCAGCTATGGCCACATGCAGGCCACAGGGACCCTCTTGCTGCCCAGCGCCTGCCAGGAGGATGGCAGGAGGGTGGCAAGCCCAGGGTGACAGCCCCTTGCTTCCATCACCACTTGCCCAGGCTCTCCCGCCTCCAGGATGCTCCTGAGCCCCATGCAGTGGCGGGGAAGCCATTTTTGGGAGCCTTGGGATGGAGGGAGCGAGGGGCGCCGGGGTTTGCGGTGGCTCCTCCAGCGCGGCCGGGGGCCGGGGTACGGTTCCCATGGAAACGTAGCCGGCTGCGCGGCGGGAAGAGGCGGATGCAGCCGCCCGAGATGCTGACAAAGGGGAGGGCGGCCGGTGCCGGAGGGGGAAGGGAGCCCGGCCGCGGTGCGGGCGCCATGGGGGTCCCACAGGCACCTCAGCCCCTCACTGCTCCTGGGGCCACATCCATCTGTCCCCCTTTCTCTCCCATGAAAGAGGTGGAAAGAGGACACGGGTGCCCCGGCTGCTGGGGATAGGGGAGACCTGGGGCTCTCGGTGCTATCCCAAGCACTGTCCTGGGGGGACCTCGGGGCCACCACCATGTCACCCTCTCCATGGCACCCACTGCCCCAGCCAAGGGGGCTGCTCGGCATCAGCAGCCCGACGCCCCTCAGCCCATCAATGCTTCATGCCATTTAATAATTAAAGCTGATAAATCTTTAAATCAAAGAGCAGTGCCAACGCCAGGCAGAGTGGGAGGAAGG